ACCTCCCCTCCTCATCCCGCTTGTCAGTTGTTCTCTGTTACACTTGAAATTCAGACGGACTACATGAAATCTGACTGCCTATGAGTCTCCAATTAAGGTCCCCGTTTAAGTTATATTAGGGGATTTAAGGCTCTTTATTTTCATACAAAGGCGTCTCCCTCTCTATAGTCTTCAGACCAAACACACAGTTATCCTCTTTCTAATCCATATTCTATTCTCTCGCATTCTTCGAGGCCCCGTCTAGCTCTATTTGGAACCACTTGTATGAAATAGGGCAGCTTCACTTCTCCACTATTGAATTGCTTAAAGCAAACTTTACTTGCCTTGCAAGTTAGTAGTTCCGGCCAATACTATGATTCTGATCAATCGGTAACCACCCTAGTCGAGCATGCATGCAGTCACTTACATCAACACACACGATAAATGAACACAAGCACATATACTGAAGGCCGATGATATTGGGTCCCCAGCTCGGTTCCTACACCCTGATGAATTTTAAATGGACCTTGTTCCTTATCATAGCACTTCTAATGGTGTACAATTTGTACGTCTCTGGCCTATACTGTACTATCCCACAAGTGGACCCACACCTGTATTTCAGGCTGATTCCAGGTTTACTCCCTTCATTGCAGTCGCCTTTTTTTGACTTCCCTTTGTCCTCATGATCCTATTCTTGGCAATATCTCTTCCTGTTATTGAGTAGTTGTCGTTGCTCCAAGCGTCTTCCTCTTGCTGTCCCTTAATAAATCTCCAAGTGTGTCCAGGCAGTACGCGAAATTCTCGCTGACTTCACTCTTCCGATCTCCTGTTCATCAGGCTTCTTTGTAAGATGGTGTCTACGGCATCCCTTGAATTCAGTTTTCTTGCTTTCTGTACATATGAATCCAATTTTTTCGTTGCACTCCAGTCAATTGTGTGGCGGCAAGTAAGGGCAATGTGTTCAGCTATCTCCGATCCTTCCATTTTTCGCATAGTGGCTAATATTATATGATCCTCTCCTTCAACTTTCTCATTTAGATGTTAGCCAACAGAGATGAGAGTGATGAGCATATAAACAAACCAAATATTTTTTCATTGATGCGAACGTTTACTATGAAATAGGTCGTTTTTATTTTTAGAATGATTAATCGGATTACAGACGTCTTCGTGATGTCTTTTCTTTCCAAGATCTTCAGTAGTATCGTAATCGTTTTTTTCTCCTGAGATGTGGTACATAGATTGTATATGGACTAGGCTCACCAATCCCAACTTTGCTGGCTAATATCTACATGAAAAAGTTGGAGGAGTGGAGTAAGTAACACCAGCAACCATTCAGAAAAAGGGATAAGGAAAGATTGGAGATAGCCTTAAGGACCACACGTTTGGCTGACGTACAACAGAACGAAAAGTCTCAGATGGGGAGAACACCAAAGCACACATGCTCAGTTGACTTAGGTTTAGGCGAGACTATCATAATAAAAGGTAAGTGGAGTTTGCTTTACGAGATTATGTACTGAAGAAGTGAAGCGGCCCAATTTCACACCAGCGGTTCTAAATCAAGCCAGACAGAGCTCCGGAGAAAGCGAGAGAATTGAATGGGGATGAGAAAGAGGATATTTGTGTGATGGGTCTGAAGACCAAGGATAAGAAAATTACTAGGTATTAGAATCAACAGCCTCAAATCTCCTAATATAACTTAAACAGAGTTCTTAATTGGACAATCATAGGCAACCAGATTTCATGCAGTCCGAGTGATTTTCATGTGTAACAGAGAACAACTGACAAGTGAGGTGAGAGGAGGAAGGTAAATGAAAGTAAGAAGCCTTGCAAACGGCATCTTAAACAGGTGGTGAAGGTGTATATGCCTCCCTTAATCCACTTATAGCGAAACAATATTAGGAACATGGGAAGAAACGAGAGCACATAATGGTTTGGATAGGCAAATGGAGCAATTGAAGAGGGGTTGAGAGAAAGAGATGCAGTACCATAAGATAGGACAAAAAATAGGTGAGTAGTGATGCCATAACGATTGAACAGAAAATTAGTCAAGGGGATTGTCACTGATAAGTTGCAGCTGTGCTAATGATGGCGTCTCCTACTGACGATGCCGGCTAAACGTCTGCGAAACTACCAAGTCAAAAGTCCGATGCTGGAATTCATGAATAATATGGCAGAGGACACTAGCCTTGGTGCATTCCACATGATTTCCCTTTTCAATAAAGAGTTAGCATTTAACAATAAAGGATTGAGAAATTCAGAGAATTCTGTCTCTAAGGTCGTTTAAAATCGACTATCTTTGGTAATTACATTGATATTGACATCAGATAGAGGGTTGCGGAGTTTTGATATTCGGAAGAGCATAACGCTTGCCAAATTAATATTCAATGCCAAAAATAAGCAAGAAATATAGTAAACTCATAATTTTTGTGTATTGATTCGACCTTGTTTTCACAACTTGGTCAGAGCGTCAGAAAGACCTTGTGGAACGTACCGTGTCCTCTGCCATAGTATTCATGATTTCCAGCGTCGGACCATTGGCTGGGTATATTACCAAAAGTTTCGCCGGTATCGTTAGTGGGAGATTCCATCGTATAAGTCACTTTGGTGAGTTGTAACTCTGTGCTTACGATAGAGCCTCTCACTGACGATGCCGGCGAAACGTTTGGGAAGGTATCTAGCCAATGGACTAATGCTGGAAATCACGAATACTATGACAGAGAACACTGGACTAGGTACGTTCTACAAGGTCGAGCCAACAGTATAAAGCTAAAGGAGACTGCGACCAAACCGAAGGCCACACCATGTTGGTCTTCATATCTACAAGCATAGTTTGGTAGTTTCATATCCCTAATTTGCGGCGAGCAGCTGATTATGATTATATAAGGCATTAAGAGAAGGCTCGCTATTTGAGTTGGGAAGAATGTGCCGAAATTGTTGCAAAGGGGATAGAGCTTACAATTTTATTGATGGAGCCAAAACGTTCGTTTACATACATGCATGCTGATAAATCTCAATTCAATGCCTGCCTTTTGGATATGGGGGCTCCTATTAAGGCTATGTGAAGTGCCGAAATGCGTACTGCACAATTCTTTTCTTAAGAACAGAAAATCTCTCACCAAGTGACTGAGACAATAAATCCTCCTCTCCTTTTGTTTCCCTCTCTTCTCTACTTGCTATTGAGTCAGGCTGTTTGCCTTGCTCTTTTGTCTCGTTTCCCCCAATTGTTTCGTTTATGCCCTCGTTGCATTTTCGTCTTTCCTGTAACTCATCCCACAGAGTCTGGTCGCCAGTCTTTTTCAGTAGCAGTTGATGTGACCGCCGGATCAGTTCAACTAACTCAGTCAAACGGCGTTGGAGACACCTTCGATCTTCAACCAAGCGAGCAAGCATCGCCTCACGCCGAGTAGCTCTTCGTTTGGCCGCTTGCCTGCGATGCGTCACAAGGACAACAAAGTCGCCCAAATTACTCGCCTCAAATTCTAGATGAGCAACAAGCTCCTCAAGGCGCGAGCGGTCCTCATCGGCTCGACTCAATTGATCCATGAGGCGAACGAATCGTGTCTCTAGTTGACAGTAGGATGACTATAATAGGGTGAGGAAAAGTGATGGCGAAACAAACGAGAGCAAGCGATTTAACTTGTAAAAGGAAGTTTGAAAACGACTGTGAAGAAAATGAAGAGTAAAAGATAAAGGAGACATGTTGTGAAAGTTGCGACTAGAGAGCAAGTGAGCTAAAGCACAAACAAGAAAGCAAATGCGATTGTAAATACAAAGTTTTTATAACCCCTAGAATATGTGCATGCCTATTTTTTAGAGGCTATTATTAAATCTGGTTGGAAGCATAGCTGTATTTGATATTTCAAGGGAGTAAGATTAAGCTTGCCACAAGGATTCGTAGAACAAGTTATGTTTCACCATTAATTTTCGTGTTAGTTCTATTTCTCTAACATGCTTTAGTGCTCAGAGTGGGCGTAAATTTGTACCTAGCCCAGCTGCCATCAGATCTCTTTTAATAATAGAAAATGGGCTCCGAAGAAACGCATTACAACTTGGCTCCATTAATTATGTGGCAGTGAGAAATCTGAATTGTAGGACAAGCTAATTCTTTTTAATCGAAGAGATGAAGACCAAGATAGTGTAGCCCCTGGTATTGTAGCCGTCTCCTTTCGATTTATAGAAGTGGGTTGATCTCGTTGTCGCAACTTGGTATTGTTGTGAGGGCTACTTAGTAAAACGCACCTTGTAGGAAGTCCTCTGCCATAGTAGTTATCATAATTCCCAGCATCAGACAGTGGACTTGGGACATTCTCAGACGTTTAGCCGGCATCATTAGTGAGTGATGCCATTCTTCGCACGAAGATACGACATCGCCAAAGAGACAAGTCTTATGCCGGGATAATACTTAATTTACAGTTCAATTTCAATCACAGGCTAAAGATGAGAATAATGAGGAGCATGATCATCCGAAGCCTGCGTTCAACGGATGTGAAATTCTAGGACGAGGAGTTGGACAAATTGACTAGGATATTCCTCTGCAACGGCTACCCAGGCGAAGTAATACAAATAAACATACATGCCGTGAAAAGCCGATGGCAGAATGGGGACTATGAAAGAACAGCAAGGACGGAGAAGGATTCACAAAAGTGGATATGCCTACCTTCCTGCAAACAAACTCAAAAACCACGACTAATATTAAGGAAATTGAATATTCTGATGGTCATGAAAGAAATAACAAGACTTTTCCTAAGTCTACTGATGAAACATGAAATGGTAGGCAAATTGAATTGTTCAGGAGTTTACTATATATCATGCGGCGCCTGCGGACAGAAATAAATTGGCGAAGCAGGGAGAAAAATTGGCATATGAATCAAGGAACATCAAAGGACCTGCAGGAAAATGGAATACGAAAGATCAGAATTAGCGGAACACATCGCACAGACTGGACACAAGATCAATTGGAAGGCAACATAAAGAAGGGCCTCATACGGTGAAAACGCAAGGAAAAGGAAGATTAGGGAGGCTATTGACATACTTGGGAAAAAGAATCTAATGAACAGGAGATTGGAGGAAGCAGAGTTAGTGATAACTGCTTAAGCAAATTCGGAGAAAACAAGAATACAGCAAGACCAGCAAAAAGGAGACGCCTGGATCAAGGATCTATCGCTAACCGGAGGAAAAGGGATCGCGGTGAGAAAAGGAGGGGGTGGGGATTTTCGGCAATTAAGTGAAGACGTTGTCAGTGGGTGATTTCTGTTCGAATAACCAGTACAATTTAGGGAGCCTGGCAGTCAGGGAGCCAGACAGACGGATAAGCAAATCGTCACAGAAATTCAGAGTTATGTCAAAAATGTACTATAAATCCACTTGAGATGCCGCATGCGACCAGAGATAGGCGTCCAAGGTAATGAAGGAATGGTAGCTGAATTTTCCCGCAATGATATGAGTCTATCTTCGGTTTTCATTGAAATTAACGTAGCCTTGCTTTCAAAAAAGGTGTCTTCATTCAAGATGGACTGCGCTTTCGACCTCGAAAAGAAATTCAACTACCAGTCCTTGATCACCTTAGACGAAATAGGGTGAAAACATTTTATATGTTTATACAACTTGCCCTGGATTTGACTTAATGTTTCCTCCACATAAAGTTTATCTAAAACGCATGGTTGATGTTATAGTCAACTAATAGATTACGTTCATTTACAGAAAGTAAAACCTACCTTAGACATAGGTAGAATAAGAGTAGACAGCAATGAAGGGCTGACAGTTGAGTATTTCCATAATCATACGAATAAGTACTGCTTTGGGATTTCATCTAGCCTTGCAAAAATTAATTCCTATTTAGGATGGACTGCTGTTTCGATCTGGCCTGGGTTTCATCAGCATTAGTAGCGGCAATCGAACATAGGTAGTTTGGCATATCATTTCGACATCTTAACACTGTGCTGCGTTGCCACAATTGCCAGTGGGTCAGGGAGCAGATGTGAATTTCAAGGCAAGCAAAGTTTCCCTCATACCACATTTATAATAGGATTATCGATGATACAAACTTTACAATTACAAATAACTAGTGGCTCATATTAATAACAAATAGGTTTCAATTCTATAAGTATATCTTGAATAAGACCTTAAATATTATTAGGGATATAAGTAATGAAATCGATTACAATAGCAAGACAGAAGTTTGCCTATTTTCTGGGTCAGGGTGCTAAAAAGTTTTGTATTCACGTGTTAATAGTTAAAGTGTGACTTGACTTTTCAGTTCGAAGGAAAAGTCAGTTTGGAGGGATTCGTACTTACCTTCACCGGAAACCAGAGATGATTAACTTGGAGGGAAGATTATTGGTGTGCAAAAAAGTCTTCGCCTTCCTATATCGCGACTCGAATGAATCCGCGCTTAGCTTACGTGTGTCGTGATGGACAACGTCAAAGAGAAAAACCGCCGCCGTTTTCTGAGGCAATGTTTATAGGACACTCAGGCGGATTTCTTTATTGATATACTTTCAAGTATTTTGAAAAGGCGAATAGGAGGATTCTTAAATCAGCCTGATCGGAAGCCGAGGAAACTGCAGGACATATCGCTAATACACTACAGTTATAAATACAGCGTTTTATAGGCTACGGAGACTTCCCATACTAGCGTAATATTAGGGAGGCCATATAAATAAACAAAACCCGAATAGGAGGAACAAATGTAGGAAATTGATTCTTTATGGCTGTTGGATAGGCTTAAAGAAGGCTAGAGAGGGGGAACAGAAGGTTGCTTGGATAGCCTTGAGCCTGGTTAGAGCTCTCAAACCTCACATAACTTGAAGATGATATTAATACAATACACAAAGGATGCGTCAACTTCACAGGATCAAACTCTGGTTAATTTATGTAAGGAAACCGCTGTGGCCGCATAAATCTTCTTCATGCATCAACCTCATCTGCAAAAATGCAGTGGAAGCGTGAAATAGCCAATTGAATGATGAGATACCTCATTCGGTTCGCAAAGCTAGATAGAAATCGGCTACCTTTTTTCTGGCTTAACATATTCGGTGCACTTTTTCGTAAATGAGGGCGATTGTACTAACGAAGTCCGTCAAGTGTAAGACGAAAGCTCAGTAAGGATTCATCAGGGTCGCAGGGCTATACGCGGATAATTTATTGGCACAAAGCTACAGTCACAGCTCCAAGTCAATCCTCCTTCGGTGTTCAGTGAAGTCCTTACATTCGCCTAGTTTGAAAGGCATTCTAACATCAATCCTCCTTTGGTTTTTGGAGTTTCCAGTTCACGAATACTTTCCTACCTACTTTTACTTATATAATAAAATTTGATTCACGCAAAATCCTCAAGGGATTCTTCAAAACTCAGCTTTTATTCATATACAAATCTTGGAATGTCTCAATAGGTTGGAGAAATGGGGCTGCAAGGAGTAAATAGGATTGCAGCCGGCCCCTATTCTAGTGGTAGAGCTAGTGAAATTTTAGATAAAATGTTTTACTCTCTGATGTTGCCCATCGCATGACAGGTAAAAGTTCTCCAGGGATTTTTTAAGGTCGCAGGGCAAAGATCCGAACCCCTTTCCAACTAAAATTTTTTGTCGAAATGAAAAATTAGATGCAATAGACAAATAGTGATTTTAATAATTATTATATAAAAGGTTGCTCTTACACTCAGTTTTTCCCATTCTTTGGAGCCCATTTTTAGTCTAGAAGGATTAATAGTATGAAGCTCTGCTTCTTTTGAATATTTGCTACGATCGATTTCGGGAGAATAAGGCGCAACTAAATTTGCCCCTTCCGCATCTCCGTTAACTTTTTCATTCATTGACACTTCGGTGACTGTTGAAATATCCCGGCATAAATAAATTTGATCAGCTGGTGCATAATGTTGACTTGAATACTCTTGAGACTCTTGAGACAGCTGAACCGTCTGTTCTTGCTGATGCTGGCTAGCGGTCTGCAATTTAAGAGCAAGATGCAAGTGCTGTTTTCTATGGAATTTGACTGCAGCGATCAACTTCTGAAGACTTGATTCAAACCGGGATACCAGTAACTCTGGCGGCTGTACCGCAAACCAGGCAGAAAAGCGAGTCTGACTGAAGCAAATGATATCAAGCACATATAGTTAAATAAGTGAAAGCAGCGTAACTTGCAAACCACACACTGAGCTCATTAGAAATAACATTTAGCCTCTACATAAAGTGAGGAAATTGCGGAGTCATTGAGAAATATAGTTATCTATTAATTTAATGGAGTAGTAAATTCTTGCTAAGTATTAATGATGGGACCATTCAAAACATGAACTCAAAAACTCAAATAGATAGGAAAATTACATTTCAAGATTAAATAATGAATCACATTGGTAAAAAATATTTATACTCTTCTGAATGTTAATGAATAATGCAAAAAAGGTTTCCTTCCTCAAGAACAGTATTCAGAGTAAAAATAATTCCATAAATCATATTCGAAGCGTTCTTCCGTGTTTTGAAATAAATTATGTAAGGGGGGCGCATTTAAAGGCAATCTGCAGTGTGTCATGCCACAAGCAATCAATGAAATAAGGCCCCCATTTTATGTAAAGCCTGCTATATTTTAAAGGAATAGATTTCTAGACCTTTGGAGTAAATTGCAAATGAATTCAAAAGTAAGAGAGTACTATAGCCTTGGTACCCTAAAACGAAATGTTTGGATGCACGCTTGCACTATTCTTGTGATCCATACCACAAGGCCTGTAATTGATTAATGACGGAAGGATAGCTCTTACTTTTTATAGATAATGCATACACTTATATACATAAACGGCCATAATTTATCTAAACCTGAAGGCCAAGATGCTATGCTTCTTTTTTGTCTGCAATCCC